AAAAGAAATTTACCAGTTACAACATTTTTGAAAAAGAAAAATTGACAGTAATATATCATTGAAAAAAAAAAAAAAATACCAACAATAAATTGTTGTAAAAGAAATTGCTAATTCTCCCAAGAAAATTAAATTTCGATATTAAATGACCCATAAGGAGTTTATATGCCGTTAAACAAACAAAATAAACAAAAAAGGTTTTTGTGCGAATCTACCCAAATTTTTATAGCCATTTCCATTTACCTCTGTAATTTTTTTCTGTTTAGTTTTGCTAAGGCAATAAAATGTAGTTAATTGCACAATATTGTATGCAATTACATTTGCATCTCCTAGTCGGGAAAACGTCCCATGGGTCCACAGTAAAATCACGCTTGTATCTCGATGCACGAGCACCAATTTTCTATTTAATTAACTTTATAAACAATACAGCTATAGACAGAGCTTCATCTGCGGCATAATTTCTCTTAAGACACAATCACTGGTGGAATTCGCTTCGATTTACTACACAAAATGCGGTTTCTTTTCTAGGGTCTATCTCTGCTAATGAATATTTCGATAAATACACGTTTATACCGTAATTTCTCGAAAATAATACGCATTTTCTTTTACAGTAAATTACAGGTTATAATAGGGGTGCGTATTATAAATAGGTTTAAACAAAATTATCATCGTCATCATCATAATCACCACCACTTTCTATAATAGAATCAATATATAAATTGTCATTAAACAAATTATAATCACAATATTATTTACGCCCTGTTCAAAATTATCTTCAGTCTCTTCATTCTCTTGCCAAAGGACGTCGTCTTCAGAGTCATCAATGGCTGTAGTGAGACAACACAGCTTGAAGCCCCTAACGGAATCCCAAGATTCATGATTCCATTTTAGAAGTTCCAATTCTGTATTTTTTTCTGTTGCCACCAGAAGTAAAACATTATCTATCAGCTTAGTTTCGATTTTATTCTTGATGTAAAGCACGACAAAATATCTTCATCATTCTTGTTTTATTTTGATAAAATTTATAGATGCATATTACACATAGTGATATATATATTTCTTAAATTATGGATCATTTGTTAGATTGCGTATTATCCATGGCTGCGTATTATTTTCGTGAAATTACGGCAAGTGTGCATATCTTTCAATCTGCTTCTAGGGCTGGATCCTTTACTTATTCTCTTTCTTTCTTTTCATATCTTTCTCTTTACTTATATATTCATATATGATAGACTGTTTACATTTAGCTTCTCGCGGATATTTTCTTCTAAGAATTTCAGTATCCAGAATTTAGCGGATATTCTAACGGGTACACACAGTAATTCAACCTTACACAAATACAAGAAAACCAAAGACATTCTCGTAATGGATTTCTTCATAAAAGTTTCAAATTTCACCGAACTTGATTGATAGCTGCAGTGACTAAAATCGATATCATCTGACAAGGGATTCTTTTATTCTATGACCGCGCGTGTCTACAATACGCGGCTCTCTCGAAAGTAAGCAGTGAAAATGCGGGAAATGTCATATCAATGAAAGGAAAAATGTAATAACGTAACGAAATTCGATATATATATATATATATATATATATATATATATATATATATATATATATATATATATATATATATATACAAATGAACAAAGCGCAATGAATTAGTAATAGGTAAATGTTATATGGTCCTTTTACAAACTCTGAACAAACACAGGAATTATTTAATAGATAATCAAATATCCATTTTATCAGGGGATAAGACGGGGGTGTTATATATAGCCAGATATATATATATATATATATATATAAATTATGAAGAACTTGGTAAACCGAATGGGTAATTCCAAGGAGGATGGAATCCTGAGAGCTCAATGTGAATACAGAGCTAATATATATATATATACATTACATATATATATATATATATATATATATATATATATATATATATATATATATATATGTGTGTGTGTGTGTGTGTGTGTGTGTGTGTGTGTGTGTGTGTGTGTATAAGTATTAAATATTATTAAATATAACAGGCAATGAATGGCTATTATGTCTGATCATGAATCGTTCTAATGTTCGAATGTTTGCTTTAATTTATGGTGAAGATAACTGCAAAAATTGCCCAAATTTGGATATTTTTTTATTTTGGTCTTAGGCTTTCGCCACACATGAGCCATCCACAGAGTAGTTTTACAGACATGAAACAAAGTTATCCACCGTTAAATGTGATATTTTGCTGTTTTGGCATAGAAGATTCTTATGCGACGATAACGGACGCGGAATAGCTGACGCAGATCATAAGATCATGCGGTTCTATGACGTCATACCACGGGATAGACATTTATCGGCTCATAGCAATTTCGTATGTAAAAATAATGAAATATCACCTTTGGCGGTGGATGTCTTTGTTTCATGTTTGTATAACCACTCTGAAGAACATTAATACGGCATATGATAAGACATAATAGACACTCATTCTTATATGTTTAAATAATGATCTGCTACCCCAATAAACTATATATATATATATATATATATATATATATATATATATATATATATATATATATATGTATGTATTAGAGATAAACAGGAATGCGGAATTAAGAACCTTATAAAAAAAATGTATAACACCAGTTGACAATAGCAAAAAAAAAAAAATTAGATTAATTATTCATTATAAAAAGTTTAAAACCTCTAAACTTATAGTTAAATATAATAATTCACCTCCTAGAACAAAATTCAATAGGGCAAATTTTATTTACAAATTTAAATGCACATTAACGAATTGTATTCCTGATCAATCAAAATTCGTAAATAATTTTATGAGCCACACTACAATATGTTTGACACGCAGAATAACTACATCTTTCTGACAATAGCTCAATTAGATCGTATTTAAATATTCA